TAAAATTCCCAATAGTTTTCAAAAGCGCCTGGAGAAACAAAATAAAAATTAAGGAAAAACAGGAATTTTTACCCAAAATTGACTTTGGTTTTTGGTGTAACTTTAAAACAAATGACTGTAGATGCATGCAATTTTAAATGGTTGCTTATATTTGAATTTTATATAGATACACGATAAAATTTTCTAAATATTTTGATTTGTTTTGAACTCTTTAGGGACATTTTCAGTTTCCAATTTTATTAGTTTTTTTTTTTTTTTTTATGAATGTCAATAAAACTTTATTTTTTGAGTAAAAATACTTGAAAATATAATAATAAAAATCTCCTAATATATATTTACAATGTTATTTGAAAAATATTAAAAATCCTTAGTCATAGTTTTTTTTTATAAGCATTTAAATTCAAAAATTGACAAAATATGGAAAAATCAAGAAAATTAGCAAATTATTTTAAGTTAAGAATTCATAAAAATTTTTATTTTTAAATCTAAGATTTGAAAATGTAATACAAGATTCCTTATACGATTATCTACCTTTATCAAAAAAAAAAAATGTCTACAACCAAATCAAATTAAATTTTTATGAGCGTTTGAAATTCATATTTTTACAATATTGTATATTCACTCGATTTCTCATGTAGCGATTTTCTCATTTTGTTGTAATTCAAAAACGAATAACTGTAATTACATGACAATTTCACTGAATGTTTATTTTATCAATTCTTATACTTGATAAGATTTTCAAAATATTTTGACTTGTTTTGAGCTGTTTAACGGCAATTTCATACTTCAATTCTTTTATTTTTTTTTCCTATAAATATCAATAAAGTTTTATCTGTTGGGCCAAAAAGGGTAAAAATGTAATACAAGGCTCCTGATATATTGTTACAATAGCAGTTGAAAAATATTAAAAATACATAGCCATAATTTTTTTTTACAAGCATTTAAATATCGAATTTTGACAAAATTTATCAAATTTAAAATTGAATAATTATTTTGTAGTTAAAAATGTATAAAATGTTCAACTTTTATAGCTAAGGATTGAAAATTTAAAACAAGGTTTAACGAAAATAGTTATATATATAAATTACTTTATTCACAATAAAATCATCAAATATACTTAGTAATATCATAGGCTGACTGACCTTTTTTTTATTTTTATTTTATCCTGTATTAATCGCCATAGAAACAAATGTAATAAAAATAATGATTTTAGTTATTTTGTTGTAATTTATAATATTAATTCAACTTCCAGGCTATAATAAAATATAATAACAATATAAAGTATCCAGACAGACAAACCGTCTCCGCTCAGATTCTTTTTTCGTATACAATGATATGATATCATTGAATTCAAATTTAATACAACCCATTATATACTTACCAACTTGTAACCTACTGTACAGCAGAGCGACATCCACTTACCCGCTTTTTTAATATTCATTATTATTATATTGGAGTTGTAAAGCAAAAGGTAACAAGGTTCCGCTTAAGTACCTAGCTAATTCTGTTACCAAAAAATCTAAAAAATACATAAGCACAGTTTATTTTTATAGTCATTTTAAATTCATATTTGGACGAAATGATAGGTATATTAAAAACCCTATACCTAGAATTACTTTTTTTAGTTATGTTGTTGTGATTGTATAATATTATTCGTGGGTACTTGAAACTTCTAAAGTACACTATTATATATCTATGATAGTATCACGGTGTGTTGTTGATGTATAACGCGTTATAAGTACCTACCTAATGGATATCGGGATATGATTAATTTGGAATTTATTATAGGTATTACTGTATTAGGTACCTATTATAAGTTAATTTTTTTTTTAATACCATAGATAAGTAGGTTTATAATATGTCTTATAGCTAGACTGACATTCCGTCTCCGCTCATAATCGTTTTTCTCATACAATGATATTATATCATCATTGAATTCAAATTTAATACCATCCATTATACAGTGACCCAACCTACTGTACAGCAAAGTGACATCCTCTTGGTCACCTACTGTACAACAGAGTGACATCCACTTGCCCATCTTTTTTTAAATTAATTTCACAAAAATTTATTTTGTAAAATGTAATACCAATTGACAATGTTCAGAGTTCAGTATTTGTATCATTATATTGTCAGTTTTTGTAATTGTCTTAGTAACCTAATTTTTAAACTTTTCTATAATAAAATAGAAATTATAGAAATTGATCATTTTTATTTCATTTTAATTATATAAAATAAATTATTAATTAATAAGATAATTACCATTTTTATAATTTTATGGAAGATTGAAGATTGAAAAATAATTATTTAAATTTAAATTCATATAATAAAATTCTTAAATATTTTTAATATTTTAATATATTATAATATTTTGTAATGTTATTTAATTAGTATTATCTTTTCATTGTCCTTAATTTACTAGATCAAGTAACTAAATTGTATTTATAGTACATGAAATAATGTATACATATTTTATGAGTTTTGAGATAGGTATAGGTAATTAACACTTTTAAAGTTTTAACATATAAATATTTTTTTTTTATTATCAACACCCCTCCCCCTCTCTATGTAGATTTTTTCTAGAACATTTTTTTGACTTTGGGGACTCCAAAAAAAACTGTGCACTTGGCCCTAACTTTATTAAATCAGCCATCGGGCCCTGAATATGTATATAGCAGAAGTGCCTAAGGTCATTGAATTTCGGAAGAGTGGCATTTCTAATATTTCCTAATCTTAATATTTTTAAAGATTTTTTTAAAATCATATAAATTAAATAGACATTTAAGTATCATATTTCATATTTTGAATTTCTATATGTCATGAAGGATATTATATTGAGCTTATTTAGCTAACAAGCAGGGACGTACTAACGGGGTGGACAAAGGTGTTCTTTTGGCTTATTTTTGTCATATAAAATTTTTATAAAGCAATGAAAGTGTTCTTGTCACTATAGTACTATTGTACTAATGCACTATATACCTAACGTTTGAGGACTGAGAATAGTCAAATATTCATATCTCCACCTTTCAAAAAAGATGAGCAGCGAACACGCCACTGCTAATTACTGTCGTAAATGCTAATTAGTAATTACCGTATCATACGATCAACCAGAATAACTATGAAATTGTACACAAATCCGTGGTCTATTCAATAAGCATAAATTGTGAATTATGAATAACATTAAAAAATATATTGAATATTTGAACAGTTAGTTAAAGAGTCTTAATTTAATAGATACAATTAGTAAATATGTAATATTTTTATCGGTGACTACTGACTACTAATAAATGTAGGTAGATACTTCGTACTTTTACACTTGACGAGTATGAACACAATATGAAGTAGGAAGATACCTATCTACTGATAACTGGATGTCTGAATGTCACAACAAATTTATAATTAGGGAATAGGTAGGTATATTATATTATTATTATATCAGGAACACCAGTGAATTTTTAAGCTGGTAAACTGGTCGACACAAATGTCGCCCAGTGATAATATTTTGTCACCTAGTTGACAGTATATTTTATTGTATATTTTTTTGTCGCCTAGTGAATATTTCTTAAAAAATGCTCTCAGGAACATAATAACAGTCATCTAGGTATCTTTTAATTATTATTTCGTATCCAAACATTTGTTGAAAACTATAAAATAATAATTAATAATTAAATAAGGCTAGGCAGGCAATAACTAATAAGAAGTAAGAACAACAGCATTATTTTTTTATAACTGGTAGGTAGGTAGGTAATCAAATTTAGCAATGACTACCGTCTACCTCCATGATAAAACTAACTGTAAAGAAAAATATAGTTATAAGTTAAACATGAACATTGAACATCTTAGAGTAAGTAATAATATTAATATAGGTACCTACTTAAATAACATTTGATGGAATTTTTATTTATCTAAATTTATTGTAAAATTATTACGAAATTATTTTGTCTTTATTTCTATTTTTGTAAATTTATTTAGATAGTTTGTAGATATAAGAAAATAACTATATAGGCATCTACCTACCACGCAGTTGGTGGACGGTGGTTATAAAATGTAGATAAACCAATAAATTGGTTTCAGAATACTAATTGTATCTATTTATTATTTTATATTGTTTAATAATTGGTTATTATTATTAAAAAAATAAAATTTTCATGGTCAATCCACTGAGTCGGAATAATGAATGGAATCGGTTTATGGTTAATGGTTCTAATCAACGGTTGTTCGATGGCGGCTCATCAGTCATCATCCGCCCGCTGGGCGCCGGATTTTGATCACCCGCTTACCCTTGGGTGTCGACTTGTAATCGGTGGCCCGCGGAACGGTACTCTCAGTGGCGTGTAGTGTGTTTGCTCGACACTCGGACACTCTCGCACAGTCGCACGCAGTGTCTCAGTCACTCCTCATATCAATGCTCACGGCTCGCCGGCCAACGTTCGGCGTTCGGTGACCGCACCAGTGCACGACCACAGCCAGTAGTTGTGGCACGCCGTCATCGGCAGTTTCAGGTTTTTTGGTTTCGGTTCGGTTCCGGAACAATATAGGTTATCGATTTGGCATTCGCCCGCGCGCATTCTAATGCCCGCCGCCGCCTGTTACCGTTCATAATTATTATTTATTATTAATTCTTTGTGTATCAACATCATTTCTATAGTATTATTTTATTTTCGCGGATCGTGATCTCGTACAGTTACCAATTACCGTACGGTTGCGTATTAATTATTATAAAATTAATTATTTATTTATGATCTTGCCGGTGTCTATTTTTTTATACAACTACAGTTTACCGTCTGTACTGATGAGTACGTGAAAACCGTTATTTGATCATCAAGTGACAGGTTTGAGGTTTTTCCACTACTCCCGAATATTGTACTTACCTATTGTTGGTATTCGTAAGACGTAAGTATGCGAAACATTTGTTGAGCCAAATCTAATATTTGAAGCTCACTGAGAACTGAAAATATTTTAATATTAATTTTGTGTTTAGTTACTAGTCTCTCGTTATTATGTGGTCGAAAATATTTAAAGCCAGTAACCATGGACTTGTGCGCGGCGTGGCCATATATTCGGTCACTTGGCCGGTGAGCAGCTTGATACAACAGGCACTACAGCCGTCTGGCAACAAAAACATTGATTTACAAAGAGCAGCCAAGTTCAGTGTGTATGGTGGACTCTATGTAGCACCCACTTTGTATGCGTGGATGAGATTTGCCGGTTATGTTTGGCCTTCGATGACAATTACTAGTCATATAACTAAGGTTAGCATATCTGCGTTTAATAGCTATTAATAATAAAAATTAATAAACATAATAGATAAGGTTGATTGCAGTAACATAATCGTTTTAACTGTAACACCATTTAAATATTACCTATGTTAAAATTTAACATATTATTTCAATAAGAAACGACTTCAAATAAAATATATATCAATTACCAAATTTATAGAATGTAATTATACGATTTATAGTTAGGTGACCCAGTCCCTGTTAGTGCTTATTATAAAATTAAAGCAACTGGAGGTATATCTAAGTCTTATTTAATTTATTATAAATTATTAAATAACCATTAATCATTTTAATTAGATGCAATTTTAATAAATTAAAGGTAATTAAGTTACTAAATTATACAATTTAATTATTAAGACTACATTGTAGATAATTGTTGTCAACCCTATCAATTTTACTTCTAAGTAGGCAGGTATCCAATAATTGTATGTAATAGGTGGTGGTTTACTAAAATGTATTTAGTACCAAGGATTTAAAAAACAAATTTAGACTATAATAAACATTCTTAGTAGTTAGTACCTACATTGATCATAATGAAATTATTATTTAACTAAAAAATATATTAGTAAAATTGTATTTTAAAATTAAGCATGTGAAGTATATCAGTTAATTATGTAAAAAACTACTATATTAGTTGGTACAAAAATGTACGTTTTAAACTCTAATTAAAATATTCAATTTTCTTATTGTGCAATTTAAGTTGATTAATCTAAAAAATAAATAAATATTATCATTAACTTACTATTAAAATATTTCTATAGGCAGTGATAATATAAAGTTTCAACAATTTAAACATAATACATTTTATAATTTTTGATTATACTTGTATACATTATATTTTGGTTATGAAAATAAAAAAAATCTTTAGGTGGATATATTATACTTTATTTATGATATATCTTCATAATAAATATGTTTACCTACGGTAATTATCAAGGTAATTATACAATAATTCAATTTTTTGGGCTTTAAATTAGGTTTGAATTAAAAACTTTCAAGTACTATTTGATCTATATTGTAGCTTTATTTTTAGTTTTGCTATATTTTATTTTAAATGGTATAATTTAATAATATTAAATACTATCAATAATCATACGTCATATTTTATTAAGAGGGGGAAATGATTGAATTGGTTTGATTGTATTCATATTGTTGGTAGGTACTAGGTAGTAGGCACTATAGTTGTTTTTACCTAGAACATTAAATGTATATATTTAATATATCTACTAATAAGAAATGATCAATAATCTTTTGTTGAAATGTACCTAGGATACATTTATTAAAACACTAGAATAATACACTTACATAAGTGCTTTTTTTTTTAACCTTATTAATTACATCATAATATCATGATATAATAATATGGTAATTAATACTAAAATATATATATATATGTTCAAGAGAAGCCTTAAACAACTTTTTTTCTATATAATGTACCATCAGTATAGGATTACTCGATACTTCAATATAACAGGCAATAGCATTAATAGGTGACCTATGATTTATTTATCATTAAAAGAAGAACAAAAGACAAATAAGATTAAATTCCATAAAAATGTTATCTTAATTTTTGGTATTTGTATTTTGTGAAGTATAATATTTTAATTTCCAACAGAAAAAAAAGTTAACCGTGTATATTATGCATACTTATATTATTGTATACAACTAATCAGCATAAACATTGTGATTGCAGTTTTAGATAAATTATAACACGTATTCTTTTAGTTAGGTATCAAAAATTAGTTTACAGATTAATTTTCAATTTGTTCAGGAAAATTAAGTTATTAAATTGAATAAAAAACACTTGATTAATGCTACCAATAATAAATCTTAACTTGATTGTTCAGTTTTAGAAAATAAATAACTTAATTTTCCTTTATTCCCTTTATAATTTTTATTTGTAATGAAGGTTACAATAAGTATGACTATTTTCATAGTGCTATATGTATGTTAGTTTTATTATAATTGAATTGTTATTTTTAATTTTTTCAGGCAGTTGTTGAACAATTTTCATATGGTCCATTTGCAATGGCTAGTTTTTTTTTCTTTATGACACTTCTGGATGGAGGTACAATAGAAGATGCTAAAATGGAAGTTCAAGAAAAATTTGTTTCCACCTGGAAGGTATACAATTTTTTACATATTTTATTTTGTATTCAAATAAATATTAAAAGGACACAAAACCCGGATGTGTTATTGCTGTCTAACAAACTTACAACATAGCAAATGTGTGATAAGTAGAACCAATTGTCTGTTGTTAGCTTTAATATTATAGTAAAATAACCTATTATCAAATTTAAAGGTATGAATAATATCTAGGGCATCTTGTAGGCTTTTATTGTTGTTTAAATTTGAAACAAAGTTATAAGCATCTTAAAAAATTGTAATAATATTTTTAGCTATAACACTTTAAAATTAAAACATTAATAAAAGCCTTTAGGTGTCTTAGATAATATTCTTACCTTTAATTTTGATAATTCAACCCTATATTAATTTAACAACATAAAATTAATTCTTGTGGTTGAAAATATGTTATGTTCTATGTTTGTAAGACATAGACAACACATGCAAACTTGGCATCCTCTAAGTATAATTTTGGAAATAGTCTAAGACATATTTCATAAATTTTTTCTGTTTTTACTCTTTTTTTTTTGATGTTGGTATATGCTTATTCACTAATTGCAGATTAAATATTTTAAGAGGATGTTACTCATGCGTTTGTAGTCTCCGTCTTACACATGTAAGTAAATTTTTGATCATTAGCTTCAATAGTGTGCTACTAGTTTTAGTATTAGAGTGAATTGACCAATTATCAAACATTTAGGTAAGAACATTATCTGTGCTTAAGCTTAGGCGATTTTTGATATTTTCATTTTCAAGCAAGATATGGGTATGGAAAGTTTCAAAAATTGAAAATTATAATATCCAATAGAAGTCAACGCTTAAGCTCGAATAATATTCTTTTCTAAAAAAGGTCAATTTATTCTAATACCAATACAAACAGCACACCATTAAAACTATTGAACGGAAATTTGCTATCTAGTACTTGTGTAAGACGGTGACAATAAATATATAAGTGACAATGTAGCATCATCCTTGTAATAAATATTTTGTTCATATTATTATAGTAATACTACTATAATTGAGACAATAATGCTACTATATCTATATGTAAAATTAATGTACATTAGTTAACTAATATTTTTTTCCTTATTTAGATAGCTGTAATGGTTTGGCCAGTATTACAAACAATAAATTATTGTGTTATTCCTTCAAAGAATCGTTTAATATTTGTCAGTTTAGCTGGATTTGTATGGACCACATTTTTAGCCTATAAAAAGTATGAAGAGAATAAATCTATACAGATAGCTGATAAAAAAACTGATTTATAATCAACATTTTACATTTATTTGACTATTATGATGTAATTAGTCTTTTGACATTCTTTGTTATTTTTGATTGTTATTGTTATTAGCTCTTTAAACTATTGTTGCCAAATATTATATCTACTTAAATATAATTTATGCCTGGACTTTGATAAATGGTGGATTTACAGGGTAGAGGGGATAATATCATCCATCTCACAGAATCAAAAATACCTTTTACATAAGTATTTTTAAATGTTCGATAATATTTTCAGTCAATATGACCCATTTTATTATAAGTAATTCCTTCAACTCTACTCTACCTGCCAAAAAAATCGTAAATACACCATTTGTTTACATCGTGTTACAATTTGTGAAATTTGTATTTTGAAAAGTTGCAATACATTTGTAATGTTGGTAAATTCCTATTTTTGTTATTTGACAACACTAGTCAAAAGAATCGTTATTTAGTTAAATAATTTATATAAATGCAATTATTTATTGAATGTTATACTATAAAGTCCAATTGTGGGTTTTCAGTTTGGTATAAATGGACCAATATTTTAAATTTTGAAATGTTAATAATCCATTTTATATCAAAAGTGTTCTTAATTATTTGAATTTAAATTGTTTTTGAGTTACCATTATTGTACTGATTGAAATGTAGATAAAAAGTGGAACTTTTGTTCATTTGAATTTTACATATTATATTAATTTATATGTATTATGTATAATTGTTTATGTTTTCCAATTAATATTTATATGGTCAGTACATCTGATTTACCTAAATTATTTTACCATTCCATTATATATAAATAGTTCTCAACAATAACAGACTAATAAATGAAAATATTATTGTAATTTTTTTTTATTTTGATGATATAATAGCTATATTTAATAAAAGTAGGGATTTTTGTAATCAGGCTTTGTCAAAAGAAAAGTGTTAATAAAAATGTATAATGATTAATCAATTATTTTTTTAAGGACAGAGGTTGTAGATATTTTATTTGTTCATTACGTTAATGTGGAAGGCTGGAAGTCAGTATTTTTTTTAAAATTGTGTCACATTTAGACACTTTATTGGAAAATAGATCCGTATGTCACTTATTATTCAAATTAGCCTAAATTTATTTATATTTATAATATTTTTCATTATTTTGTAAAAAAAAGTTTTGTTTCCTAAATAAAGATGGACTTGACTTTTGTTCTACATTTAGAACATAAGACCATTGGAATAAATATTTCTATTAATTATAATCATTAATTTTAGTAAGTTTTACAAAATATAAATAAATTATATTTAGAGATTCAAAGAAAAGTATTTAACAGTTAATTGTTAGGAAACATGCTTATTTCAGTTACTTTTATGAATTCGGCCACTTTTTTAAATAGCTTTAACCACTTCCAGCCCTGTAATATATCGATATATAATTACTAATATTATTTTAATAATACGGTCAATGACCAATACAACAATAAACATCATGTATTGTTTAGAACTGATTTATCAAGACTACTTTTGTAAATGTTGAGTTTAGGTGAATATTGATACATAGGTAATAAATAATATTAATTATTTATACGTGTTGAGTTTAATTTTATAACATGATATAATTTTTATTTAAATATGATAATAGTTAAACTACTACAAGGCATAAGCAATTAATAAAATAATTGTGTTTTTTTTTTATTGTTATTTTACTGTACCTACATCTAAATATTGGGAAATATGAGTTGAAAAAAAATAAAATTACTTGCATTATTCAGATGTCAACCTGAGATAACTGATAAAAGTAGATTAATGATCTCGAGCTAAACAAATTTGATGGGAAACCTGGTGCTGCTAAAAAATTATCAATATCAGTACTAAAAAAAAAAATTAAATTATTTATGAACTTATTTAATACCTATTGGCTATTAGTATGAAAAAAAATAAAAAAAAATGTAGTATAAGCTGGAGACTGCAATGTAATCAAATTTTAAAACCAAAAAAAAAAATTAACAACATTAGATTCATTAATCAATAAATTCAGAGGTTAGTTCAGGTTACCCTGGGTTAAAAAAAACATATAAAAATGTAGGTAACGTATATTAAAATTTTATTTTTTAATTTTAATTTTATACTGTCTACAGATTTTTAATTTCATTGTTCAAATGCTTTCGTTTTTTTTATGTTTAGATTTTATAATAGGTTATAATATAGGGTACATATTGTTCTTTTTTATTATACTGGGTTATTCTTTTATCAAACAACACTCATTATTTCAAAAAGTGTAATTTTTTTTTTTACATGGTTTCAATAAGGTTTTAAAACAATGTTTTTATTATAACATTATTTTAAATATTTTTTATCCTTATATTTTTTAAAGTTTTTTACTTTTTTAAATGACAACATAGGGTTTAAATTTTATATTCCAAAGCAAAATATTTTTCTTAGTATTTTGATACATGAATATCGAATTTTGGGCTAATAGTTTATGAGTTATAAGTATTTAAAGTTTAGACGAGCGGAGTGGAGTGGTTCGGGGTAGCCCCGCGAAATGTTTGTCCACTTCACTGCTCATCAAACTTTGAATATTTATAACTCATAAACTACTCTCCGGTTTCCCCAAATGCGATTTTCATGTATCAAAATACTAAGAAAAATATTCTGCTTTTGGAATATAAAATTGAAATTTGAAACCCTCTATGTTGTCATTCAAAAAAGTAAAAAACTTAAAAAATTATAAGGTTAAGAAATATTTAAAAGTATAGGTAATGTTTTAATAAAAACATTGTTTTATAAGCGAATTGAAACTATGTAAAAAACTGTACACTTTTTGAAATATTGAGTGTTGTTTGATAAAAGAATCATCCGGTAGGTATTATATTTTATTTAACGTTGCCTATTAAAAATATTTTAGGTTAGGTTAGGTTAGGTTTGCATCAATTTGCATCAAAGTTGACCCAAAATATATACAACATGTGTAATTTGCACCATTTTTTTAAAATGCGTTTGTAATTTGCAACCAAAATCTAGATATATAATTTGCACCATCCTCAGGTAGTAAGAAATAGGAATTGTAATTTGCACCAGAATTAAAATTTATTATTTTTTCGATAGTATCTTGATAGTACCAACTTACAAGTTTCTATATCCTAATTCCTATTATAAATTTAGCTTAGTTTTGATTTATAAAATAGCTGAGCTTATACACATATTGTTGTAAGTTTATATAAAATCGTATTATTATGAATATAAAAAAAGTAAGCTTTTTTTCATTCTACATATAATTATATTTCATGTCGAGTGTTACTGCTGGGTAACTACTCCCCTCACGCCGCCAAAGTCAATTGTATTTTATTTTCCAGCTCATATGCTCATTGTAAATTTTTATTAGAGATTAAATAAATGTTAAAAAAAAAACATAATTATTTTAAGTGACCAACTTTTTTTTATATTCATAATAATACGATTTTAAATAAATTAACAACAATATGTGTATAAGCTTAGCTATTTTATAAATACAAACTAAGCTAAAGTTATATTAGGATATAGAAACTTGAATGTATTGGTACTATCGAAAAAATAATGGATTTTAATTTTGGTGCAAATTACATACCCTTATTTTGGTGGAAATACAAACACTACTTTCGACTACCTGTATAGTGGTGCAAATTACAAATTCCCATCGCACTAGTATGACACAAATACTACGATCTATACGAGGCACTCAACTATAGTTGACTAGTCTAAAATCAACTATAGTTAACTATATTTTATGACAGCAACTGAATTAAAAATATTATTCAAGATGCTTGCTGACGTTACCACGTGATTATACTCTAAATGTCAATTCTGTATCACATGATCCTATTATGTCGCATTACTCGCATTACTATATATTTTATGTATCTATAAATACCTACGTATTACGATATAATCATACCACATACAAGTTACTATAGGCACCGGACCAAAACCTAGGGAAGAACAGCTGTTCGCAGCCCGCGTATGTCGTAATGTTACGTTACCTACTCGCAATAGGTATACATTATATTACTAATTACTATCAGATATTATATTACCTTATAAAAACCATTGAACTCGGGAAGGAAAATAGTACTTATACAAATTCGAATAAAGGGCATGCTCAAGACCGGATTAAAGGGGTCTAGCTGGGGTGGAAGCCTCGGGGCACTCTCAAGTATACCAAAATGAAAGGGGCCCAAACAATTTTAAGCTGATACACATTTTTCAGTTATTTAAAAAAATAAATAGTATATCTATATTTTAAAAACCATTTTTTTTTATAAAAAAAAAAAAATAAATAGTTAATACCTACAAAAGCACTATGGTAGAAAAGACGCATTTTACTGTTATTTAATATTTGATGTAAATAAGTATACTGTTGTTAATAAATTTAAAAGTTATTATGAAAATTAGATTTTAAATTAATGAAACATAAAGTATTAACTTTTATTATACTGCAATTAGTAGTTTTATAGACATAAATAAATAAATTACATATAATTACCTATTCATTTTATAATTTTATAATGCAATTATCAATTTGTTAGTCATCCATCGGGTGTACTCACATTGAACCAGTTATAAAGATATTTTATTTGTATTGATAATATATTACACCCTATGATAGTGGGCTCAGTACCAGTTCTTACAATATAATATATTCATAGGCGCAATTTCAACTTTTGACTTGGGGGGGCTGAATATATTAAGGGCAAGCAGACCCGTGGGGGGCTATGCCCCCCACACCCCCCACCGTCACCATTCATATTATCTTACCTTATAATATTACTTCATAATCCAATTAAATTTTTTTTCTTCATTATTACGGTCGACCTACCTCAATTTTCAAGTGGGGGTGTGACTTATAATAACATGATTTTAACAACATAGTAGGTAATACATTTATTAATTAATTTCAATATACCTAAATATCAATCAATATAAACAAACAACAAATTATAATTGTAACCTTTTATTGGTCTTAGCATACTCAATTAGTATATCCTCAGCTTTAAGCTGATTTGATACTTCTCTTTCAATGTTTATTATTGCCAAACTAGAAAATCGCTCCTGGTCCATCGATGTGCGTAGCCAATTTTTAATTCTTCTCATAGTGGAGAAAGAACGCTCACACGTGGCTGAACTAACAGGAATTGAAAGAGCCACTTTCAACAAAGTGTATAAATTTGGATAAATTTCAGATTGTACCATTTCTTTTATTTTATCAAAATCAATCTGTGATTCTATGCTTGATCGAAGGACACAATTTTTTATCACCATCATTTCACTTTTCAGAGCATTAAGGTCAATATTGAACAACTCCTATAAGAAAAGAAATTATTTTTATATTAAATTGAATACATCTCATGTTAATAATTTATCCTTACTTTATAATTTTCAATGAAAAAAGTGCTATCATCATAATTTAACTTCATAAAATTATCAACTGCTGTTGCCATTTTTAGGCTTTCAGTGGAAAATCTTTTTTTTATGTTTGTAACAATAGTATCAATTAATTTGAAATAAATTATTCGCCAGTGTTTTTCATTTTCATTAGTTAGTTCAGTGCTTGTGGTTGATGATAAATGGAAATCCTTCAAATGATTTGGTTCTCTTTTTAATCTCTTAGCAGTACAATCTGAAATCAACAGCAATTTTAAATAATATACTTCATAGGTATCAATAATTAAAATATTTTTATACTAACCTTTTATAGGTGTTTCAATGCCATGAGTTTCAGCAAACATTTCAACAGTAGACCATACTTCAAAAAAACACTTATCTGAACGTTTCTCTTCAAACGTTTTTATTACACCTTCAATAACTAGGCCAGCTTTGCCTAGTGTAGCTGTTTTTTGTTGTAACTGAGTGCTAAGAATATTGTTAACTTGTAATATATCTTCCAAGACAATGAGGTGAAAAATAAAGGAAACCGTATTCATTATAGATAAAATTCCTATTACAAAATTATTACTAATCAATTAATTGTTACTGTAATACTGTATAATTACAATTCAACGTTTGGTTCATAATAAAAAAATAGAATGTTTAATAGGTATGAGTATGAGTAAATAAAAACAAATTTGATTTATATTTTAAAATTTACTTAAGGCCTGGGAAACATCTCGATCATTAGAATTCTCAATTTTTTCTTTTAAAGCTTCAATTATTGCTTTAAAATTATGTTTAACTGAAGTACAATTTTTGACTCTGCAATTCCAACGTGTATCACTTATTGCTGTTATGGATATTTTTTTCAAACCTAGTTGTTTTTGAATTTCTTTAAATTTGAAGTTGTTTGTTGGCATAGAAAAATGAATATATATAGATTCAAGACAATTTAACACATATCGGGTTTCCTAAAAATGTACATAATATAAAAGTTATGATACGTTTAAAATAATGAAAAATATTTTTATTTACCTTAACTATCTTGCACATGTTAATTACAATTAAATTTACTCTGTGTGCCATACAGTGAGTATAGATGGCACATGGGTGTCTCAACTTTACTTTTTGTTGCACACCATTAAATCGGCCAGACATCACGCTAGCTCCGTCGTATGACTGTGCGACTATTGGTATTTGAGCGATGTTACTTGCATCTAAATAATTGAACATAATGGTACTCAAAGAATCAGCGTCTTGTTTTTCTGATACATTTAGAAAAGTTAAAAATCGTTCAACAACATCTAAATTTTTAGTATATCTTATGCAAAAAGAAAGCTGCTCTTCATTGAAAGATCTAGAAAGTATTATAATATAAACATATTGTTTTTTATAGGGTATATAAACTATCACTAAGTTAAATGTTTACCTTGCTTCATCTACCATTACACTAAATACACCACATTCTTTAATTTCATTGCAAATAAAGTCATTCATTTTCTTAGCACATACATCAATAATAGTGTTCTGTACAGACCAACTTGTATAGTTGGTTTTGGAATGAAAATGATTTGCAAATATTTCATCAAATTTAGCAACCATAATGCAAGTTTCTTTAAAATTTCCTAAAATGTGTTGTATAATTTTAAAATAAAAATATTTAAACATATTTAGAAATAAATATCTCTGTTTATAGAAAGCTCGTTTTCTCTATGGCCTCTAAAAGCAATTCCTTGTTTACTTAAAAACAATGTTATTTCAATTAACTGCATCATGTAGGTTCTGTTTTCTTTTATTTGTTGCATACTTGCAGAAACAATTTTGTTGTGAACGGATCCATTTTTTTTCATTGAATTGTGACATGACCATTTAGACATTGCAGTTAAATGATGTATACAACTATTATGCAATTCAAGTTTTGTACAATTAACCTTTGAATCTCTACAACCACTTAACTAAAACAATAAAATAAAAACTCATTAACGGTTAAGAAATAATAAGTAGTAAATAGTAATGTATAGAACATACAGACATACAGCGTGTATACCCAGATATAGAGTTAATTGTATAGAATTCTAAAATCTAAAACTTATTATGAAAAACTTACTTTTTTCCAATTATTAAATCCAATACTAATAAATGTTTGTTCAACATGGCCAGAGTCATTTGAAAATAATCGACAAGCGTAACAAAAAATGGCATCATTTTTAATGCTGTACTCAATCCATGAAAATTTTTTATAGTAGGTACTCGAAAATGATCTGTTTTGTTGTCCAAATTTAGTTTTTGGATATACCTAGAAACATATTAAAGTAATTAACTACCTACACAATTAGTAATTACAAGTTACAACTTAAAATTAAAAATTGCATAAATATAAATTATGACCAATACAATAAGAAAAGGAAATTTGAAAAAAGCACTTACTTTTAAAATTGGCCTCATAGGTCCGGAATTTAAATCGCCAAGATCTAAATATCCACTTGTGGTATTATTGGTATTAGATTCATCATCGCCGTTGACAATATTGGTGTTGGTAGCATTAATGATAGAAACCGATATATTTTGATCAACATTTATTTTTGTAGAAACTGTAGAACTTGTAGAAGTAGTTGTGGATTTATTTTTGTTATTGAAAATGTTGAATAACTTTTTACTTTCCATTGTTAAGTTTTTAAAAACGTTGAAATAAGTTTGAATGCACTGATCAGTGATCATGTAAAATGAACGATAGAGTATAGACTAACGTAAACGCGGATTGTTAACTGTTGTAATGAAAACGACAAGCGGATAATATGACGTACCTAACCATAAGGGAAAGACCTAGTTTGCCGAATTTAAAACAATAAAAATAAACATTTAATATAATATAGAATAAACTATATATAAACACGTCATGTCAAATATTATGCGGGCTTATCGCCTGTTACTAGCATCGTGGGTTTAGTAAAGAGTATCTTATATAATTATTTATTATGAAGTAGGTAGGTACCTAAATATACATTTAGTATAATATACAATCGCGATCATGACGTGATAACAAATAACAATAATAACACAATGTAATAATAATTTCAAATAATATAGGATAAAAATAATATTATACATTCATTTCTACAAGATTGGTGATAATTTTTATTTTATAAATAACATAAATAATATATAATATTATTTAAATATGTAAGAGAACTAATGGCCTTTGCTGCCGAGTTATATATAAAGATCAATAAAAAAAAAAATTATTTAAACATAAAAAAAAAAACTGTACACATTTATAATATTATAGCATTATAAACTTGTAGATTTTTGGGGGGGCTACGGCTAAGTTTGGGGGGGGCTAAGCCCCCCCCAAGCCCCCCCAATTTGCGCCTATGAATATATTAATATATTTATTAGCTAAGATCATTATAGAATGTACCTACCTACATAATATTATAATAACAATACAAGCAGAATGAACGCCACTGAGCAAGATTCAGTGAAATTTGTATGTATCTACAGTTATTCGTACCATTTGAGTCACAACAAAAATAAGAAAATCGCTACATGAGAAAGCGAGTGAATATTCAATGTTGTAAAAATTTGAATTTCAAACGCTCATAAAAAAGTTATTTTACTTTCTTATAGACATTTTTTTTTTTTATAAAGGTAGATATAATCCTATGAGTTATGAGGAATCTTGTATTAAATTTTAAAAAAATTTTATGAATTCTTAACTCAAAATAATTTATTAATTTTCTTGATTTTTCCACAGATACATTTTTATTGATATTTATAAAAAAAAACTAATAAAATTAGAAACTGAAAATGTCCCTAAACAGTTCAAAATAAATCAAAATATTTTGAAAATGTTATCGTTTATGGAAAATGCAAATATAAACAACCAGAGAAAATCTCATGTATCTACGGTCATCTGTTTTAAAGTAACCAAATTCGATTTTGCGTAAAAATTCCTGTTTTTATGTTTGAAAGTAAACTTTATTCATCCATATAATTATGGACAATATTCAACGCTGCAGTAATGTAGTAGGTGCCTATTTTGCCTATACATACGCCGGTCGTTATGTTTACGTGAAGTGGGTACGAAGGTTCATAATATTATGTAAAACAATTTATATATATTATAATCATAGGTTAGGTACGAACTTTCTGTTGAAGTAATACATTTTTGAGTATAATGAACAAACGATAGATCTTAGAAATCCATTAGTGTGAATTACAAAAACAAAGGAAATCATAATAAACTTACCAAACACGTTACTCGGGTTCGTTGGAGCGTTGGACTCTAAAAATAGTACGTACTGTAACAAATTATAGGTGAAGTCGTGAAGATACCTATCTAATTGAAATCCAAGTACGTAAAAATATGATTTGTATGTGTACATACTACATAGGTACATATACTTCACCTACTATAAACTAATTAGCTGTATGCTCTATTTCAATCTCAGTATAGTGAATTACTAATTAATAATTCTTTGTAATGTATAACGAGTGCTAAACAAATAACCTAGCACAGTTTTTGTGATCCACTTCAAAGATTTTTCGACTACGACGTGGAGCAAGACACGGAAAAGAGCCGAAGCCGGTGCCGATGCACGAAACGGTCCAACAAATGAGAGGATAAAAAAATGTCTGCCGGGAGAACGCCCCAAAAGGTAAAAAGTCGAGCCTAAACGGAGGATTTGTTCAAAGTGTCCGGCGAACAAAACGGCGTCTAGCTGGACACAAAAGAGCTGTGAACTCGGGACAAAAGCTCACCTCGGCGTATTACACAGGCGTAATAAAGGCGAGAGGGGTGGGAGCCAAGACTGCAGCGACGCTTAAAACCCACTGCCCCAAACCTCTCACAAAACTGAACATAATCTATGTTCGGTCTATGTCGGGAATACCGCAACAAAATATTCGCAGTGCAAAGGTCTTCGCCCGACTCCACAGTGTGCGACGACTAGGTCGGACAGCGCTTACTATCACGTCCGTTGCTGCAGTATCTCCACATCCTCCTTTGGTAACCATGATGTCCTGTAAACCTGCACCGGTCGTCTCGTGCTCCAGCGGTTTTGCCGACTCGGCATCACCGATTAATTGTGTTTCTGAAGTGCTCGGTAACGAACTCAAATGCTGGGCGTCGAAATCGAGTGGCAGAACATGTGGCAATGTCGACGTGAAGGGTAACAGGGAGTCGAAGTCGCTAGTTCTTACAGCAGCAGGTCTCAATTCTCCACTGTTAGTCGATGATTCGGCCGATGGCGAATCCGTCAAAACTTGCATCTCGGTGATGGAAGCGATGGACGGAATCGTTTCTGGTGCATTGCCCATGGACTTTGTTTCGAATGCCATGTTTGGCATCGATTTGCTTCGCCTTTGAAAACTCTTGATATCGTCGATTTTCAGGGTTATCGGACGATTTTCAAGCAGATCTCTAAATACTTGCGTCATTGAAGCGGTTTCGGACAGAGGGGATTCAAAAGCGGAAATCGACTGCAGCGATATGTTTGGAAACGATGCGTATCGCCTGTGAAGCTTCAAACGGGTGACCACACTCTCTTCCAACACTTTAGGCTGATTTTCCCGGAGGTCTTCAAAAACCTGGATCATGATTTCTGTGGCGGACTGTTTCTTAACATCGGACGAACTCTTCACGGCTTCGTTAGTCGACATAATGTTGATCTGATTTTTGTATATTATACAAAACTAAGGTACGTAATAAGTCTTGCACTGTATTATAATTAATGTTCGTTGCAACAAATATAGGTACTGATAGAACAGACTGATATGCAATTAATACGAATTATAAAACAGCTTCAGTGTCAATAATATTATTTATTTACACCGAAGTTGCCCATAGAAATAAGATTATTATAGTTTTTTTTGAAAAATGTTCAGGTTAGAAAATTATATTTTTAAAAGAATAAATAAAAAAAAGGATTGTATTTAACATTGGTAAATACTAAATATTTGTTAAAGCTTTATGGATTTTGATAAAAAGAAGGTGTTCTGCTGTACAGTAGGTTACAACTGGGTCACTGTATAATGGATGGTATTAAATTTGAATTCAATATAATATAATATAATTGTATAAGAAAAAGGATTCTGAGAGGTTTGTCTGAGACGGTTGTCAGTCTACGTATAAGACATATTATATACTTATCTATGGTATTAAAAAAATTGACCTATAATAAATTCCAAATTAATCATATCACAATATCCATTAGGTACTTATAACGCGTTATACATCAACAACAAACCCTGATACTATCATACATATTATATAATAGTGTACTTTAGAAGTTTCAAGTACCCACGAATAATATTATACAATCACAACAAAATAACTAAAATAATTATTCTAGGTTTTGTATGTAGTTTCGTCCATTTTTTAACTTAAAATGACTATAAAAATAAACTGCGCTTATGTATTTTTTAAATTATTTGGTAACAGAATTAACTACATACGTGGAATCTTGTTTTAAATTTAAAATCCTTAGATATAAAAGTTAAACATTTAAAAAATATTTAACTACAAAATAATTATTCAATTTTAAATTTTATACATTTTGTCAAAATTCGATCTTTAAATGCTTATAAAAAAAAATTGTGCCTATGTATTTTCAATGTTTTTCAACTAAAATTGTAACAATATATCAGGAGTCTTGTATTAAATTTTTACACTTTTTGGCCCAACAGATAAAACTTAATTGATATTTATAGAAAAAATAACTAAAAAAATTTAAAATTTAAAATGTCCGTAAACAGCTTAAAAAGAGTCAAAATATCTTATAGACATTTTTCTTTTGATAAAGGTAGATAATCTTATAAGGAATCTTGTATTACATTTTCAAATCTTAGATTTAAAAAGGAAAATTTTTACGAATTCTTGACTCAAAATAATTTGCTAATTTTCGTGATTTTTCCATATTTTGTCAATTTTTGAACTTTAAATGCTTATAAAAAAAAATTGTGACTAAGGATTTTTAATATTTTTCATTTGCCTTTGAAACAATATAGTAGGAGCCTTCTATTAAATTTTCAAGCTTTTGCAAACAACAAATAAAATTTTATTGATATTTTTAGAAAAAAAACTAAAAAAAGATGGAAAATGAAAATGTCCCTAAACAGTTCAAAATAAATCAAAATATTTTGAAAATGTTATCGTGTATAGAAAATGCAAATATAAACAACCAGTGAAAATTTCATGTATATACGTTCATTTCTTTTAGAGTTACACCAAGAATCAAAATCGATTTTTTGGAAAACCGATTTTGCGTAAAAATTCCCGTTTTTCCTTAATTTTTATGTTGTTTTTCCCGGTGCTTGTGAAAACTACTGGGAAATTTTTACTTTTTCCCCCCAAAGTACCAACTAGATTCACTTTCCTATCAGAAAAGATACTTTTGAAGAAAATCCAAGCACTTTTACTGTCCTAAAACGTGATGACGGACACAAAAATAAAAAAAATAAAAAAAAAACACATCATTGTAAAATCTATACATTCATCGTTTCACTCAGAATCTAAAATAGAATAACTTTTTTTAAACTGAGTTAAGTTAATATTTTTTTCTATATGAACTTTTAACTTGTCAAGTTAAATTTATAATTTGTTAACTGCTAACTTTTTACTAATCGATGTTGTGTCCTCTTAACTTAATTTAACTTGAGTTAAT